CACACACACACACACACACACACACACACACACACACACACACACACTATGTTTCCAGAGGGAAACTGAAAATGAGCACAACATCCTTAGCTGTCAATCACTATCTGGGGCAAGGGGGAGTATTCCTGAGAGCATCAACTGCCCTGGGTAGTAGAGAGGGGTGTGGGACCCTACCTGATGATGCCCAGGTCCTTCTTCCGATGTCCTGCTGGCCGGCGCCATTCCTCCACCATCACCACGGATTGCCTGTTGACCAAGAGACCACAGAGAAAGAGGGCCAGAGGAGGTGTGAGCAGCAGGCCCAGGCCATAGAGGGCATTGTAGCGCGCAAGGCAGGGGCAGTTGAAGTCGAAGGAGGAGTACATCTTGACTGTGACGGCAGCCAGCAGAAGGCAGATGCCATTCATCACGGACTCCGAGCTGGACTGTAGGTGCTGGAAGAGCATCCGGAACCTATCCATGACTGCGGCTGCGTGGACCCAGCAGCGGGAGGGATGCAGAGGCTTGGGCTCTCAGCGATGGGCCTGGGGTCCACAGGAGGATGTTTCTCTTTTTAGGCCCACAGTGGACAAAAGAAAAGGCTGCCTGCAGCCTCCAAATCTATGCCTCTTGCCAGGTGATTGCCACTCCCCCCTCCTGTGGGGTGTGTCATTTGTGACCAGTCAGACCGAAGTACCTCTAGGCAAATGGACCCTGTTTTCCCCTGACTACCTCCACAACCCCTTGTGCCTCTCTTCGGGGTTTGTATATTCAGGTAGACGTGGGTGGGGCTCCCTGGGGACAGGCAAATTCTGGGTGTGGTGAGACAAAGCAGAGATGGAGCAAAATTGTATTGTCTGATGAGGCCACAACCTGACAGCCCAGCCTGGGGACATTTCCTGTGTGCTTTTGGGGTGGATGGACACTGGAGGGGTATCAGCTCCTTCCCAGAGGCCTCCTAGAAGAGGAAGAACATAGAGGCCCACCTCAGGGTTTTCTCTGAGAAGGGCTATGACAGGCAAAGGCTTTCCAGGAGAGGGTACTACTTAAGCAAAGCCAGGATGAACCACACAGTTTTCTAACTTGTTTTCTGTCGCTGTGGTAAACACTGACAAATGGCAGCTCGGGGAGGACTGGGTTTATTTCAGCTTACAGGTCACAGTCTATTCTTGAGGAAAAGTCAGGGTAGGAACTCAAGAGAGAACTTGAAGACAGGCCCGTTTGCTATTCCACACAGCATTTCTTCTGACCAGGGAACTCACTTCATAGCCAAGGAAGCACAGCAGAAACCACGGAGGAATACTACTCCCTGGCTCACAGAGGTTTATGTTTAGCTAACTTTCTTATACAACCCAGGACCATCTGCGTGGGTAATGGTGCCACCCACAGTGGACTGGGCACTCTTACATCAATTCACAAGCAAAACAATCTCCTACAGATGTGCTCACAGACCAGTCTGATCTGGATAGTGTAATGAGTCTTTCTCTGTCCTACCAGCCAGCTCCTAAATAACAACACAGAGACTTATTAATTATGAAAGCCCGGCCTTAGCTTAGGCTTGTCCCACTAGCTCTTATAACTTAAGTGAACCTGCTTTTATTAATCTATGCTTTTCCATGTAGCCTTTTACCTTTCTTTCATTCTGTATGTCTGACTCCCTCCATGTCTAGTTGGCATCTCCTTTGCACCTCGATTCATCTCCTACTTCCTCTGTTTACCCAGAAATCCCACCTATATCTCCTGTCAGCTCTTTATTAAATCATTCACAGCAATATATATTCACACAGCGTACAAATATTCCACAACATTTCCCCCTTTTTGTCTAAATAAAAAGAAAAGGTTTTAACTCTAATACAGTAAAATTATATATAGCAAGAACAATTAATAAGTAAGAATTATATTTAAAATGTTCAGTTCATTTGTGTTGGCAAATTTGGAGAAATTATTTTATTATTTATCATATCTTGGTGAGCCAAAAGTTTTTACCTAATTTACTTTCTATCCTAACTTGTATTATCAACCCAAACTATCTTTTTAGGCTTTAAATTGTTCTCTTAGGTAAACAACTTAAGTTTTTATATTTCTCAACATTATAAACTTTATATCTTTTATGTAAGTTTTTTTTCTGAATTTGGTAGCAAGGAAAACTGTATAACTATCTAGTCTTTAACATCATTAAAGACCCAAGAAGCATATAATATCACCTGGTTAAACAGAAAGTGCAGAACAAGCAACTTTCAAAACTAAGAAATGTCAGACATCTGGCTTTCTGGACAATCACCCAAGGTTTCTCTGTAATGTTGGGGCATTCATCTCCATCTTTAGCCTACAGGCCTAGAATATCTGACATTTTGTGAAGCAGGAACTTCAAAGGACTGTCATGCCCTGCCTTGGCAAAGCTTGGCAGTCACCGCCTTTTGTGTCCTGCCTGTTCAATTTGGACAGCATACTGTTAACAGTTGAGGCAAGGGCAGTTTCTTGCCCAAATGGCTAGCATTGCCACAAGGAAAATAAAATCCATATGGAGGTTCTTTACTGCTCACCATCTTTTTTTTTTGAAGTAAATTGGTGCTGTCAGGAGCAAATGTGTCTCTCTGTCATGTAAAGCCTTGTGTTATTAAAACATCTTAAATGTCATATTCTGTAGGTCTCTGAGGTGTTTAAAGATCATCTGTCTATCTAGGATATATCTCTATTTGATCTTGAAAACATATAAGTGACTAACAACTAATGTATTTCTTAATTATATATTACATTTTTAAATGAGCTGCACAGATACAATACCTTAAACAAAAGTATATATATATGTATATATATACATATATATATATATATATATATACAACGAAATAACCTTAAATTGGTATCAATATATAAAAATGCTTACCAATCTAAAGTATTTGAGACTAGTAGGTTTTTTTTAGTTTAAAAGTAGATGCAAGAATCTACTCTTTGATCTTATCATTTCTATATCTTCCTTTTTTCCTTTCAGAATGAGATCTAATCTAATTTCCTTTGCTTAGTTTTCTCCCTGACCATGACCAAAAAACTTGTAACCAACCCCTCAAACAATAATAAACACCCATAATCCACTGAACGACCACTCTACCTTTTTGGAATTTGGGTGTCATATTCTTAAAATTACTTCCTGATGTCTGGGAAAGATGGTATCCTTGGGGGATCCTGAGAAAATTAAGAAAATGGGCAAGTCCTGGGAGAGCTAGCTGTATCATTTATTGCTCAGTCTTTGTGTAGTGGGAAGGTGCAGGTTTAACTGGAGTCCTGGTGAGATGAGTGTGTGAGGCTGTACCAGCTCCTCTAGCAGCTTTGAAGCTGTCCTGGTGCAGAATTTTGAGGAAAACTGCAGCAGAAGCATTCTGAGAGGCTGGATCAGCTGGGCTAACTTATCTTTATTGTTGTCTGATCCTTTTGTTTTGAAAACATACAAACTTTTTTTTTAATTCTCTTATTTTTATTTTATATGTGTTGGTATTTTGTCATGGGCGCCAAGTCCCCTGAAACTGGAGTTACAGACAGTTGTGAGCTGCCATGTGGGTGATGGGAATTGAATCTATGTCCTCTGAAAAACCAATCAGTACTCTTAGCCACTGATTTATCTCTCCATCCCCAAAACATACACCTTTTTTGTTGTTTTGTTTTTTTCAAGACAGGTTTCTCTGTAGCTTTGGAGCCTGTCCTGGAACTAGCTCTTGTAGACCAGGCTGGCCTTGAACTCACAGAGATTCACCTGCCTCTGCCTCCTGAGTGCTGGGATTAAAGGTGTGTGCCACCACCACCTGGCTACACAGACTTTTAAAGGTAACATATATATCTGTATCTATACAAGTAAGGAAAGTGTAGTGTGTATAAGTCAGCTAAAGATGATTTTCTGTTTTATGTTTGAGCAGGTAAAAGACATATGTCAACTTTATAAGTCTGTTTGAACTGCATAACCAAACCTCTATCCATGCCACATGAAAGGATGGCATGTAATAATAAGTCATGAGGACTCTGTAGCCAACAAGATCTATCATGCCTCATCCAGTCTCACAGCTGTTCCCATGCAGAGGGATCAGCATACACACCACCTGTCCTGCAGGCTTTCCTGGCTTCTTCCCTCATGTCTGCAGCCAGGATCCTCAGGAGGTCTCCTCTGGTCAAATCTGACGTTATTAAGTTTGAGGGAATCCATAGCTTTTCATTTTCTGTGGAAACAAAAGGACCACCTCGCCCCCAATGCAATACATTTCCTGACTTCCATGTTGAAGTCAAGACCTCTCTAAAGTATACAGACTTAATTTCTGTGGCCCTTTTATAATCCAAAATCTCTCAGAAGCTGCCTTTTTTTTTTTTTTTTTTTTGGTTTTTCGAGACAGGGTCTCTCTGTAGCTTTGTAGCCTGTCCTGGAACTAGCTCTTGTAGACCAGGCTGGAAGCTGCCATTTTCTGTCATTAGTGTTTTAAAAATTAAAAATTCACAAAGCACCATAAAAGATTCAAACTCTCTGTGTTATAATAGTTTTAATCATTATATGACTTATTTTGAATATTACTTTACTCTTTCTTTAAAGACTTTATATTTTTAAACTATTTTTATGACTGTCTATATCCATTTTCTTTTTTTTCTTTAGCACCTAAGCACCCTTTTAAGTATATTGTACCCTTTTAGAGGTTTTTCGTTTGTGTCTTGGTTTCTGTGTGTCTGCAGCCACACGCTTGTAGCCTTTCCTAGATGTGTTGTTCTGTCATTGAGGCTCTGATCTCCTTTAGTTCGTCCCTGACTCTGTCCTCGCTCCTCCTGAAACTTGACTGGTACTTACCTCTCATCTGGTCCCGGGAAGCAATGAGCAGGCTATAGGTGATTTTGGTTTCTCTCCATCTCTGCCTCTCTCGTCTCTTACTCTCTCTTTCCATCTTCCCAACTGTTCCGTGGGTGAATATGCCTCTCTGACTCTTGTGCTTCTCTCTGTGTCTCTCCCTCTCTGGGTGCTAAGCCACCTTCTATTGCTCCTTCCTAGCATCCTTGACACTCTGCCATGTGTGAGGGAACTCACAGATCTGCAAAAGGAATTTTGTGTGAGTCATTTGAGTCTATAGTTTAAGACAGACCATCTCAAAATTGTCCCGCAAATTAATAACTATTCATACACTAAATAGCGAAATCTGGGTCTTGTTTATTAACTGTTGCTATTTTTTTTCTTAAAATGTTTTTAGGTGTTTGGCCTATACACATTTGTATATTTATGCAAATGCCAAAAGATAGTTTGGAACAGAATTGTTTGCTGTGTGTGTGTGTGTGTGTGTGTGTGTGTGTGTGTGTGTGCGCGCGCGCGTGCGTTGGGAACCAAACCCCGGTCCTCTGTAAGAACAGTAAGTGCTCTTAACTGCTGAGGCCTCATCTCTCCAGGCTCCACTTTTGATTTTCTGACACTGTGTCTCACTGGTGGCCCAAAATGGCCTGCAATCCATGGCAGACCTCTTTCCTTCACCTCTTGAGTGCTGGGATCACAGGTGTTTATTACCATGCCTAGTTATGATTATTTTGCACAAGATGCTTATTAGTCCTACCTCTCTGAGATAGAATTCGCGGTTACGAAAAGGCCAGGTGAGGCCTTGGAGGCCAGCAAGAGTGACAATAAACAAAGGGGTCAGATCAGAGGAGCATGCCTTCTAATGTAACCTAGAGCAACTTCTGTGACATTAAAAAGATGGACACACATGCCCACACATAT